CCGCCCACTCCCAGCCGGCTGCGACTCCTCCCCCCGCTGCAAGATGCTCTACTGCCCCACCAGTCTGAGTTCACCAGCCACGCCTGGAGTAGGTATTAGTGCCATGGCAACAAAGTTTGGTGCCCAGGGCAAAGCCCACAATGGCAGCCCACCCTTATTCTGCACACAGATCCAAGGAGCACACCCCCTGCTTGCCTGGGAGTGCACACAGCAGCAGAGGCTGCCCTGCCCCGCCCAAATCAGCTGCTAGAGCTCTGTCCCATGACCCACCCCAGCTGGGCACCGCCTGTTGGCACCTCTTCACTTCGGCACTTGCTTGCTACAGCACTGATAAGTATTACACCAAAGAAAGGTACTAGGTTAATTGGATACAATGTGCCCTTATTAAAAACACATGTTGCAATTTATCTTACTTGCCATTCACTTCCTTTTAACATCTGTTCTAATGCTGTGCACACTACTGAGAAGAAACAGATGGGTCTCGAGTTGTCCAAGTCATATTCTTATCCTTTCTTAATTACAGACACTAAATTGTTCTCTAATCACATCATACTGCCCCCCAGCATGTAGAGGATTTGGGCAAGGAACCAAGCAACACATGAAAAGTTGAAAGGTGTATTTTCAGATAGAAGAAAGAAAGGGGAAAGGACTGGAGATCCATGCCAATACCAGGAGGAGGCCAGACTATGCAATTAGGACTTCTTGTTAAGAGCTAGATCCAGAAAACAGTGACCTGCTTTCTGCCAGAATCCGAGACTTAAGACAGAAGTCAGAGGGGGAAAAGAATAACAGGAAAAAATGTATCAGTTGCCCTTTGTTTGTGAAGAAATGATCCCTGAGGATGACCGTGCCAGATGGGGAAAAATGTTGTCTATTCCTTGTACTCATTTACTTCTGTGAGGCTAATTCAGGCTGTATCCTAGGCCTGGGCAGGGCAACACAGGACAGGTCATTGTCATTCCCCAGTGTCCTGAACACTGGTGTTTATGTCAGAGTTAGTGATGTCCCCAAATTGGAGAGAGATGAAACACCCCTGACTGAATTGCTTATAGTTGTAGTCTAGTATACCTCCTGTTAATCATGAGGTGGTACCTATAATGAAGCACTAAGAATGGTTCAGCTTGGTCAGGTGGAGTTCTGTTCCTAAGGTCTTGTCTACATTTGAAAGGTGGAATGGAGCCAAAAGATGCTAAAGATATTCAGAGTGCTTTTACCTACCAACGTGTACTCCCTCTGGAAGCCCCCTAATGGCACTTTGGATTCCAGCTGAACTGCATGTGGGGTAATTTAAATGTGTTCTGCAATTAATGTTGTTGCATCTACATTCAGTGCTCCTTGGACTCCTTATTAAACTGGTTTCTTATGTCCCACACTGAATACAGAGAGCACAAGATCTTCTATGAACCAGAGCATTCATAGTGGGGAAAAAAGTGGACCCAGCAACGGGAGGCTGGGTCCTCCACAGAGATGCTCTGGCAGCCACAGCATATCTGTAGTTGGCCCTCACCCTGGTGCTGAAGCACACTGCCTGCCCATGCAGGGCTGGCACTGTGCCAGCAGCAGGGCTTCGGTGCAGGTAAGGGGGGCCGGGGGCTGGAGGAGGGGGGGGGACCCCTGCTGGCCCCACCCGCTCCCTTCCTTGCCTGGCCCTACCCCCTGCCTCCCCGCC